AAACTATTTTATGTGCCTATATCTGACGGTACTGCAGTTATTTGTAGGGTTATCCGACCGCAAATAGTCGTAATGACATCGGAAACACTAATCGTCAGTGGTCTCGGTTTTGATTATGATGAAATTCACAGATGTGAAGGGGATTTAGACAGCAATCATGTTTCGGATTAATTAAAGCATCTCTTGTCTCCTAACACCAAGCGAGTGTTGTTAAGATTGACAGGTTCCCACACCGTTCGGTGATTTCTTCTAGCTGTCAACTTTGTGGAAACGGACGTTAATTATTTGAAGAGAATTGTGCTTCAGGTCTAGAAGTTCGATTTTGAAGTGCTTTGTGGATTGCAGCCGTTGAAAGTTCACAAGGGGTTGGACACGGTTTGTTTCATTTGCTCGACGTTCTTGGACGTCTTTGGACATTACACATGTTCAATTTGCTCACTGAGGAACTCGCAATACTATACAATGTCTAAATAGGATAGGAAGGTCACAATTAGTAATCAGTGTCATTAATTCGATAGGCTAGGCTCTACTCAGTTTATTATTGAAGCGTAAGAAACAATATACACTATATTTCTATTCTGAAACATTTTGTCTGTTGACCTCTGTTAGATGGGCAGTTATTAACGCATTACGTATCAGCAAATAATTTTCCTTTTATTAAGTGCGTGCATATATTTTACAGATCCATTTTTAAAAACTAGCACGAAGTATTGTAGTAAATCACTTCGTGATATAGACCTTTGTATTATGAATTTAATTAGGACTGAAGACCTTAATGTCTTGACCACTGAATCGAAGATTTTTTAAATGTACAGTTCGTATATAAGGTTAAATCTACACAAATTTTAACTTTATGGCAGTTACATGACACATAAGTCCTCATAAAATCAGCGATTCTTTTAGTAAATGACTGCTAACCGCGATTCGTTTGTCAGACTGATATCAAGGGATCGTTTGTGCAGGTCCAATGGAGCGATTACATCTAAATACGTGGAAGGTTAGTACTGAAGCGAATCACTTATTACTGGAGTGATGGATTTCGGAGCACTTTTGATTTGGAAATAATCTTATTTGCACCGTGTCAGAAAACTAGCCACGGATTCTGTATATGCAATTAATAAACAGTTAGAATCAAAACAGTTGCAGTCGGACATTGTTTTCATCGGACTCCTACTTCTACAAGTAACAGTTATCTTGTCTAAGACCGGTCTGTTTATGAACATTTATATTGCTTGTATCAGCATATTCATCCACCAAACTCTCCAGTTTATTATTTGCATCGTGTCGCACAACTCACGCGGGTGGTAATCTTATAGACCGTCGTACACATGTAAAACATAATTCTCGTTAGTAATATTATGTTTATGGCGAATTCTCTGTGTTTACTGGTTCATTATTTCATAACGTACTTATTAATTTCATACTTCTAAAAGGTAAAAACGGTCCGATTCCTGCAAAAACTTTGCGTTTAGGAAGAAGTTAACAGATCTGACCACTCGACTGCACTTTGAATAATGTGTTACTTTGATCTCATCTCTATAATCTATGAGTTATTCTCATGTATCAATTGACATCGTTACTTTGAACTACGGACCTCGTCTTTCAGACGCTTGCTGGCAGTCTAACAAATACTAATTCAAAATCGTTTTTCCGGAACAAAGCAAACAAATATCGTTACATTTCTTATCAAGTAAATCCCTTCTATTAGTTATCCGTTAGTGCCTTTATTAAATTGCTTCCTCTGTTGGATTTGGGTTGATAAACAGCTATTCGTACCGAGATTTTACGGTCCAGTTTAATAATCTAAGGATGGAACTATCAAAAAGGTTTGTATCTATAAACACAAGCATCGAAAGTCGGAATAAAATTTCTAAGGTTTTAAAATCTTTTTAATTTGTGTCCGTTATCCTCTACAATCAATCAGAAACTTAGTTATTCAGACGTCTATCGAAGAGTCTGTTTTCAATAAATACTGTGTTTCGAATTTCATAATTCTTCATTCGTATTACCCCAGTCATGTCATCTCTTACATCTATTTCGAACAGAGACTGAGGTGCTGCTAGTGAATTTATCCAGTTCCTGACTACAGACGAAATGTCATAATGCTGTTTTGGTTCGAAGTCCATTGATATCTATCAAGCCACGTATTTTAAAAGCTGAATAATCTGTATCTACAACCTCGTCACCGCTGCAAAAACTTCTAGTATATTACTGACCCTCTTACTTGTTTTGATACTGTCTTGTAGGTCAGAAGTTACGTATCGCGACCTCACAACACAAGTAAAAAGGCTTGGGTGCATTGAGATTATCGGTATTCTAACTTTTTCGTATAACTTTACTGACCCCTTCATCTCGGTTTGGATGTTCAGTTTTCAAAGTTGCACGAACGATTCAAAAGTTTATCGGTTAGTTTATTGTGATGAATTTAGGGGGAAGTTATGTACACTTCCCTCCTTATCAGTCAGTCAGCTACAACGTAGGACCAGGCACATATATGCATCGGTCCAATTTGCCATACCTCATTAGCACACAATACGATGAACATCAAATTCATAGAAGTAGTTACTTCAGTGGTAGTAATATATTTAAGAAAGGTTGCATATAAAAATATAATACGAAAAGAAAGAATTAGTTCGTAGAAAGATATAAAGTGATTTTAATTTCACGGTTTAAGGGAAGACAGAGATTACATACACCTATGCCATTGTCACTCAAAGTCTCCAACTATTGGTTACGATAGTCGCGCGGAACCCAACCACGTAGTCTGCATCTACCAACATGGCTCACACCAAGAGTTGGTGACTTTATGGACTGGTGCTATATTTTGGTTTGGCTGCCCCTAACTTGCTTTCATCTGTCTCCAACACTGGTCAACATTGTGTGTCGTGGTAATACATGAGATGTGGCCCAACCATCTCAGTCGATGAAGATTCACAACCTCATCAGCTGATTAACCATAATACCCTGTGTCTAACCTCATTTTTACTTACCCGGTGATCCTAACAGATGCGAGCAGTATTTTCAAAACATTTGTGATCAAGTACTAGTAACTTACGAGCATCCTTTACCATTAATGACCACAGTTCCCAACCGTAAAGTAAAACCGACCGAACTGCCGCGCAGTATGCTGGTTCTTTTATTGATAGACAGATAACTCGCTTTCTCATGTAAGTTGGCAAAAATCAAACGAGCCTTCTGAATCCGTGGAGAGATTTTGTCAGATACCAACCCATTGGGGCTGATCAGACTTTCTAGTTGTCGGCGCATTCGACTGCTTCACTCCCTATCCTTAGTTCATGTGTTGACGCAGGCCGGTCATGAAGCAACAACTTGCTTACTGCTGTCAAAAGAATGCATTTATCAGTGTCTTCAACAAATAGGACTATGTCATCTGCGTATTCTAAGTCGATAAGCGGACATCCTAGAAGATCGATTCCTAAAAATCCAGTCGATGAGAACGTGATTTCCAGCTGTAGGTCTATGATGAAATTAAACATAAAGGGAGATAGTGGACAGTCTTGTTGGACACCACGTGGGGTTGCAAAATCAGGTGACAGTTCTCGATAAGCTCTGACTCAACGGGTAGTGTTGAAGTAAAGAGTCTTCAAAAGGTCTATGTATTTCTGAGGTACACTTCCAATGACAGACACTGCCACAGAACCTCTCGGCCTATAGAGTCAAATGCTGCTTTTAAGTCAGGAAAGACCACCACTGTCGGACGCCGATAAGCATCCCTATATCTGTGAAAGGAGGATATGAACTGTTTATTGAATAAACTTAACACTCCAAAATCACATCAGTCTCATGCAAATAAGAGAAGAACGGCCAGCTTCCCTTCCTAGATATACTTCTAACATCCTTTATGTATTCAAAAGTGGTTAGTTCTCACCTCAAACCTACCCTGGTAGTATTAGCTTATTATCCAGAGTGCTGAGGTTTCAAATTGTCTTCACATCATTTCCTTATTATCCTTGTCTTCTCTTACCCTCTATTTCTTGTCTAGTTGACTTTTTATTTTTATATACTAATATTCTTAACAAGTATATGTGTGATCTGATTGTTTGAAGTGTCGCGCTAATATATCACATAGCTCTAATAATCTGTCTTCTTATTAAACTTTTGAAATTTATCAAAGGAACTTTATAAAGACTCCGTGCACATACTACTAATACTCTTTTTATCACCTGTCAATATTTTTGTGACTACCGTTGCAGTAGTGTTAAGAATTCGAATTTGTTAATACAGCATGGAGTTTCTGCCGAATGTTAAAACCGCAACAAGTGGAAAAATTGTCGGCGTGCTTCAAACTAACCACATCAGTCCTTGAAGATGGTGCCTAAGTAATATTAAGTATGAAGAGCCATACTGTAAACGCATGGAAGTGGGTATCGGTGATAAGCATTAATTTTAAACTTATTATTAGGGAGGAGCTACGTCAAAAGTACCATAAAACTAAGAGTCGACAAATAGTTCTCTGAAGTCGCTTGAATAACATGCAAATAACTACCAAAATTTATTCTTATAAGTTCTTACCCTAACAGCATTGTTAAGTGCTTAACTTTTGCCATACTGTACCTAATAGACTCATAAATAAAATACAGCACGAAAGTCCAGATTACTGTTAAACAACTGAGTATAAAAATTAGGGTCAGAAAGTGTTTAGTGTTTATTGTTTGTAAGACAGATAAAAACAAGAATAAACACAAACACTTTGACAATATATAAAAAACTAGGTAAAAGGCTATCAGTATGAAATGAACATCAAGAGATTATGAGATTACTTGACTTTTAATATTTTGGTTTAATTCCTGCCTACACGATAAAACAAAACTAATTATGTTCTCTAATTGATGGTCATGAGCCTCTTGCCACTATTTCTGTAAAAATATACTACTAAAACATAAGGAGTGTTGTATTTTAATAAGAGTCAATACGTTGCTACACTTTAACCCTATATTGAAAACAGTAAATATTTATCTCAAAATAAAGTAGAAATGCATTTAGTTTTCAACACTTTTCAATGTATTGTTCTCTCGATTCAGAATAGACCTCAGTGCTTCAATGGAATACTCGGGACCTTCGGATTGTAGACCTGTGACAGGATCAATCAGATTACCAACCGGAAACTCGACTTTCTTTAGTTTGTACATGGTATTGAATGCCATTGGTGGGTCAGCCTTTTCAATAAGCACGATATCTCCAATGTTGACCGAAGAGCCTTGTGTATGAACCCAGTATGTTGCTGTTTGATAAAAATACTGTAGGTCACATTTATAAATCGATAACACGACGATAGCAAATTACCTTCATCAGGAAACGATTCAAGCAGAGCTTGTGCAAGCGGACCTTAACAATATTTGGGAATGATGATGTTAAGCTTTGTGAAAATGGCACTATCTGCCCAATCGCATAATCGAAAGGTACTTTTGCTTTTTTCCCCGTTATACTAGCATGCTGAGGGGAAGTACCTCCAAGCTCAGGCTTGTGATAAGGAAAATATTTCTGGATATGCGGTTCTATGTTTTTGAGTATGTTCGCACCACGATGCTTCCAATATCGGACCATACTTGATCTGTACCGCACAGAAATAAAAAACAATTAAATCAGCATTTTGTAACTGATCATTCACTGAAAAGAGTACAAGCTATCTAGACTATAAAAGAAACTTGTGCTCAGGTAAATATTACTATGCGCTCAGATGAAAATAATCCTCAAGGACCAACTAACATTTTGAATTTCCATCAAAAACATTTTATGTCAATATAAGTATCTGATGCGGTTAACCGCTCCATCTAGATGAATTCATATGAAGGAAACTAGACGTACTTGCAAGTACGTCCCAGGTCTGTGGACATTTGTGTCATTTTCCCAAAGTTTATTATGGCGGCTTCCCCAAAATGGGTCAAATTTTCCCCAAAATTAAGAGCTCGAGTGAAACCCTTTCATTTACACCAGGAAATTTATGGTAAGTTAGATAGGCAGTTTTTTCAACAAAAAGTTAATTGACTGTATCCCTACTGGTGGGATTACATGTACTGCAAGACTACGACATTCGATTAGTGCGCAAATAGCAAACAAACAACACCACCAGTCAGTTACCTCCGGACTCAAAAGACGGTATTTTTATCAAGGTGACTGTGTTAAGAGTGCCAGTAGTACATTAAAAGAATAGTTGAAAAATTGAGTGAATATACAGAACACGAGCAAGTAAATTACCATTTAAACGGCCAATTAATTGATAGTTGGAATTACAGTGAGCCATTTAGTACAACTTCAAATAAATGAAAACGGGTCGTTGTTAACTACTTTCCAGTCACTGCGTGTGCTATATAGCATTTGTTACAGCTTCCAGAATAAACACTTAGATTTTGATTATTCTCTGGAATATGGTAAATTCTCCTTCGACACCAGTGTTCAAAAGGTCGTGGGGTGAATCAATAATTTATGGACGAACCAATCAGATATAAGATAACGAGTACTAAATTTTGGTGCGAAATTCATTCATACATTTGGCTAAATAGCGTTCCGGCATTATGGCTGATGTCAGTTCGTGATGAAAACCCTAAACCCAATTTTTAGCCCAATCATCGACTGTAAATCATAATTTTAACTGGTTTCTGACCCTCATTTAGTATTAATCAGTGGTTGCCCATTCTCACGATCACCTCAACGTCTCTAAAAGCCAACCATAAATTATAGTCTCACCACACGTGTTGTCGTTGCCTATTTGGAACCCGGAGAGATCGAACATAACAGCATACATATCAGGATCGGTGAATACATGAACAAGGAGAACACTGTGCCAGAAACAACGTATATATTTGGGCTTTATTTAAAAAAGACAGTGTAATTGTTTCTCGTTGAGTTAGTTAACTGTTTTGATCGTAAATTACGCATCAAAACTACTGTTTACACTTTAATTGCATCTACCCCAGTTAAAGTGATATTGTATTGAGGGTTTCGATTTTGCTTTTGTGTATTTATTGCATCGAAGCATACTTGGTCGACTTTTACTTGGTTTATTTAGTTAAGGTTTGAGAATCCTTTCACATATCCTGTTTCTGTCACCGTTCTAGTTGATTTCAAGATGGCTAGATCTGCTCATAAATGTGGACAACCATATTGCTTATTTCCCGTGGAGGAAGGGATGCAATATGATGAGTGTAATAAGTGGTTCCATAAGATGTGCACCCGATTAAGCCCCACTGCATATAAAAGGTGCTCAAAACCCAACTCTCATTGGCTTCGTAGTTTTTGTTGCTCGAGCAAAACATTACTCATCCAGGAAGCAGTTAGCCTCCTGATGTTGGCTAAAAAGAAGGTTGATGAGGGCCGTACTGGTAACATTGGTACTGATGGCGAAGATTGCGTTAGTGTCGCAAGTGCTGTCACGGCGCAAGTCAGACATCTGCTTGTGCAACCCGCAGCTATGGTCTAATGCCACTACACGTTCTCCCCCGAAACGATTAGTGAGTGACACCTCATTAGACGTTGGTGGCCATGTTGCTACAGCTGCGACTAGTGATCCAGATAAGGCGATTACTGTCCCGAGTTGTTCTAATGTAGACGTTTCGACTGATGGAAAATGGATGACGCGAAAACGCAGAAGAGTAGGAAAGGCAGCTAAACCTAATGAACCTTTACTTGATAAGTCCTTGGTGGACTCTCAGACCAATCCGCCAATGTCCCATAGTAAAGCTTCGTCTAACATTGTTGTGAGTCACTCGCTCGATTCCCAGGACTCTGTTACAATAAAAACTAATCGTAAGATACCAATAGTTAAAATACAGGATCTAACGTCACGGTCGAAAGCTGTGAACACAGTTTCAAAAGAAGCTAAACCCCTTCCTAGTTTAATTATTTGGAATCTAGAGGAGTCGAAAGACAACGACCCTGCTAGAAGACATGCACATGATCTGCCGTTAGTGGAATCTGTGGTAAGAAATGTACTACCTGAAGAGGTTTTAGGGGTACATAATAAAAAAGTAATACGACTTGGTAAATGGGTTGGAGGCGAGACCCAACCAAGAAGAACCCTGAAGCTGGTTCTCGGGAGTTTTGAAGAAAGAGACAATTATTGGAAAACGCACTCGTGACTCACATTTCCGTATTCGACCAGATTGGCCGCTTGAGCATCGAATCAAGTGGAAGAATGCTCTTACATAGTTGAGGACTCTCAAATTAAATGGCGAAAATAACCTTGCCATTAAGGGTTTTTGGGTAGTCAGGTCTTGGAAGCCAATGCTTCCGAGGCCTGTATGGTTAGAACGATTGATTGCCAAAACACCTTAAGTGTGTGCTACACAAACGCTCGTAGTCTTAGAAATAAAACGTCCGAGCTTGGTCTGATGGTGGAAGAATTATGTCCCGATATAATCATTGTTACAGAAACTTGGTTCACAGTAGATATAGACTGTTCTCCGTTCATTGCAGGCTATATCTGTATTAGAAGTGATAGAGTTTAAAGTCGCAAAGGGGGAGGTATAATATTATACGTTAGGGATCACTTTCGTATACAATCAACCATATCGGAGGCTCATATCAGTGGCACATGTGAGGTTGCATGTTGTAAGATTAAATCTAGTAGTGGGTTAGTGACTATAGGGGGAATACACCGTAGTCCGTTTTGTCTTGCTGACGACTTTATCCTAAGACACATCTGTTCTTGGAGTATGGCAGAATGTTGTCTCATCATTGGGGACTTCAACGCACCGCATATCAGCTGGATAGAGCTTACAGCTCCAGGCAGTGGTTTCGATAGTGACCTTTTATCTACCATTATTCAGTGTGCACTTGTGCAATGTATCACGAAACCGACACATATTGATTTCAATCATGATCCGTTACTGCTGGACCTCGCCGTCACACACCACTGTGAGGATGTCTTTGATATTCAGCACCTTCCCTCACTAGTGAACAGTGATCACGTTGTAATTCACTTTAAGTTTAGGACACATGGTATACAATTCGTATCTGCTCCACCCCGTCCCAATATCTGGCGAGCCAATATTCCGGCAATCAGAAACTGTGCTATATCGACTGAATGGTCGGTCAATGCAGATGGATAGATCGACGAGGAATGGAATAATTTTAAGGCTACATTCGAGTCCGTAACGTCGCCGTTTATCCCAGGGTCAGCACGTATGCTATCACTTTGCCCTCTATGGATTAATAAGGAAACCCGGAAGCTGTTAAACGTAGGAAACATTTCTGGGACTTATTCTTGTTGACAGGTCATGCAACATTTAAGCGCGAGTACCAAAATTCCGTAATATCTGTAAGAAAACCATAGCCGAATCCCGTACCACTTACGAACGACGTAGCGATGGTATTTCCTCGTTCAGATTTACTAGCTGAATCAGATCGGGCAAAAGCTGAGACTTTCTCAAACTATTTTGGCGAAGTCTACTCTACGTTTATTGTAGCAAATACTTGTCCCACTCACACCGAGATTCCAACCACTAACTCTACAGGGGACTGAGGAAACTGTCCTTCCGTTGATAACTAACCTCAAACATGGTAAGATACCGGGCCCTGACGGGTTACATCCACGGTTGCTGTCATCTCTTGCGGACATTATTTCAGAACCGCTCGCGACACTGTTCAACATGACCCTTTCACTAGCTCAATCCACTAGAGATTGGAAGGACGCTATAGTCAGTCCTATATTTAAGGACGGTCCGAGACAGATAGTATTTAACTACTGGCCTGCCAGTCCAACTAGCATAGTCGTTAAGTTACTTGAAAGGATAATTTGGGTTAGTTTGCTAAGCCATGTGGATTTACACATCTGTTAGCTCCTGAGCAACACGGATTTCGTGACAAGCGTTCATGCTTGACTAACTTGCTTATTGCGAGAGAGGATTGGACAGCAGCTCTGGATAACAGTCTGTCTGTCGATGTGATATTCATGGATTTTGGCAAAGCATTTGACAAGGTTTCACACTTAGGTCTTAAGCAGAGGCTCACGAGCTTCGGAATAATAGTTACTGTACATGAGTGGATAGGAAACCTCCTATGTGACCTCAGACAAAGAGTGAAGGTCAAGGGAACTCTATCCGATTGGAAACCGGTCAAAAGTGGTGTATCCCAATGCACCATCTTAGGCCCTCAGCTCTTTTGAGTTACCGCTGTTGCCTAGGTCGTCGATATTATCGTTTGCGGATGATGTAAAAATCTGGAGAACAATAAAAATTGTGACTGATCATCTGAATCTTCAAGCTGACTTAGACGATTTAGTTAGATGAGCTCGATAGTGGGGGTTAGAAATCAATGCTAAGAAGAGTGAGCTAGTACACATCGGTCACGGTAATAGTTACCGCTATACTATTGAGGGTAAACCTCTTCCATGCGTTCAAGAGCATAAAGACTTAGGAGTAGTAATAAGTCATGATTTAAAAACAACTACGCATTGCAAAGCAGCCGCTATCAAAGGTTTTCGTGCGTTTGGTCACTTCGCCGAGCGTTCAAATCTTTTGACGAGGAAACGTTTCGAATTTTATATCCCACCTACATAAGACCACATTTAGAGTACTGTATCCAAGCAGCTAGCCCATGTCTGGTAAAGGATACTAACTCCCTTGAGCGTGTCCAGCGTGTGGGAACGAAATTAATGAAGGGTCTTTCTAAACTCCCCTACGATGAGTGTTTAAAACGCCTAAACCTTTCCCCTTCGTCGTATCGTAGGACGCGGGGTGACCTTACACTGGCATTTCGTATATTTAATTATGAGTTGGGTGTTATTATGTCTTATCTTTTTGCTCCCTCCAGCACTAATAATCTCCGAGTTCATAGCAAAAAGGTTCACAAACCGCCACCTAGTAAACTTAAAGTGGGGTCCCGTTTTTCTCATTGAGTAGTCGATGATTAGAACGCATTACCCAAACAAGTGGTATCAGCCCCATCAGTGAATATTTTCAAGGAGAAGCTGGATCTTCACTGGAAAGCAATGTGTCAGAATTAATACAGGTTTACCAACTTACTATTCTTATTACTGAAGACTAAACAATGCAGACTGAACAATGTATATGTTTTGACAATCAAATAATGCGGTTCTGTTACGAAAGGGGAAGCTTATTTACAAAATAGTTTCACACTTCATTTTGCACGCCCAGTCCACGCAATGCATGTTCTTCTTCACCCGGCACATTTACCTTTTGTTAATCTGCAATAGAAAGGTTCACGTCGATAACATTACATAGGCTGGCATCTGATACTATTACACACCTTTACTGACGAGGCTCTTTTCTCTTCCTACTTGTG